CTGCCTGCCTTGCTGTCAGTGACAAAGGCACATCACTGTCTTTTACATGCTCAAGTTTTCAGGGCTAGCAGAACAGAGACTCAGCAGATTCTCTTACATGGGTCCCTCATTCTTCTTCACAGAATGGTTTGGGCTGGAAAGGACCTTTCAAAGATCAGCCTGCCGTGGGCAGGGACATCTTCCACTTGATCATGTTGCTCAAAGCCCTGCCCAACTCCACCTTGAATACTTCCAGTGATGGTGCATCTACAGCTCTGCACAACCTGCTCCCATGTCACACCATCCTCACCCTAAAAAACCCCTCTTCCTTACATCTAATCTAAATCTACCCTCTTTCAGTTTAACCCCATTACCCCTTGTCCTGTCTCTATGGGCTCTGGTAAAATCTTTCTCCATCTTTCTTTTAAGCCTGCTTTATGTAGTCCATTTCAGGGAGCTGTTCTTAGGAGATCTCACTGTCAGGGTACATTTCAAATGTTACAGGTTCCTCTACTACCTAATCCCAACAACTGCCTCTGTCAAGGAAGGAACAAAGACAGGAAGGAGCTTATTTATCCCATCGCTGTTCTAACTGCTCTGTAGATGAAAGCACCCTAATCCTTCTACCACATATAAACAATTTAAGTCCATGCCTAAGAAAGACTAAGAACAAAGGAAGCAGATGTCGTACTTCTTCCATCAACACTCTTGCAGCCTCTGCTCGCTTTTCACTGAAGGATTTAATGACCTTGGTTATAGTTCTTATTTGTTACGATTGGTATCTTTCCAATTTACTTGTCTCATCTCCCTCTGAATGAATGTTAACTTCTAGCAAGTGTCCTCCTGTGAGAACCTCTACAGATCTGCAAAGCACCTTTTATTATTTGTCCTGATCATGGTCCCTGTAGCTTTGTTTGATACCCCTTATGTCTTTTGTGGGGAAAAAGGTAAACATTTAATCCTTATCCATCCCTGTGGTGACATTCACAATCCTGTAGGCTTTCCCCCTACCAATTTATTTTACAGCCTTCAGTCTTTACTTGGCCATTTCTTATACAGTTTATTGCAAAACTATGATCAACCTTGTTGCCTTTCTGACTTTTTTCCCCAGTTCTACCATATTTTTTTGAGGTGAAAGAACCAGAATTTCATGCAATGTTAAAGATGCACAAACAATAGGCTTCCATGGTGGCATACTAACACTCTGTTTTGTCTTTTACTATTTTCCTCATGGTTTACAATATCTGTTTTGGCTTTTGACCATTAGTGAGCACTGAATTAGCCTTTCATGAAACTTCCACAGCCCTAAGATCTCACTGCCAAGTGGTAGTGGTCAGACTTCATCATTTCTTATGTGGAGTCAGCAAAATTTTCACCATGTGCATCATTTTACTTCAACCTGAATAGAAGTTCTTCCGTCATTTTATTAACCAGTCACACAGTCTTACAAGGGTCTTCTGCAGTGCTTCACAATCATGCCCTGCCCTTACTACTCTGAGTATTTCCACCCCCTCATTATGCTTCCTCACCTCCATGCTTATACCTTATGTGCATCATTTACAAATACATCGAATAGCATCAGTCCCAGCAGAACTGTGGAACTTCACTGGTGACCTCCCTCCACTCTAAGAGCTGATAATTCACTCCCACCTTGTTTCTGCCTTCCAACCAAGCTATCAAAGTCCCTTTTGAAGCCTTCTGGAAATCCACATAGCCTGTATCAGCCACACCACCCTCAGCCACCTCCTCGTTGACCTCCTTCAAAGGACCTCAACAAGTTTGTAAGGCAGGATGCCATGTTGTAAGAGTCCTATTGCCAACCTAACTATATATATGTGTGTGTATAGTAATATATATATATATATATATATATATATAGGTGTCCACTGATTCTAGATTTTTTGACTCATTTATCCAGCACAGACTTCACACTTACAAGCCTAGAGTTCACCAGATTTGCCCTAGAACATATATTTTAAAGTGGACACATCAACCACATTCCATATCTTGACAGTTCAAGAGTGAAGCCCTATACTTCCATTAATGAGCCCAAAAATTCTCCCTGCAATTCTTCACACTATCACACTTCAATTCTTGTGATTTCTTTCACTGTGACTGTTTTTCACATATGCCTTCTACATTATGTGAACTGGTGACCTAAGCTGCACAGAAGCCAAAGAAGTGCATGTGTGTTGGTGACAAAAAAGGGGTGCCACACTCTAGTAGCTTCAGCCTAGAGAATAAAGTTTACTAAACCTAACAAAACTGTTAAAAATACATCTTTAGTTCACAGCGGAGCAGTTTAATTTTGGAACCAGGAAATCCTGAACTTGTAAATAACAAGAATCTCACATTGCCAGTTATTGGGCAGTATCCTATCTCATGTTCCTAACTCACCTACAAACCATCATCATTGACTAAACAAAGTATCAACACTGGTTTTATGTGATCACTTTCTAGGAAGCTCTACTGTAGACCGAGAAGATATCCCAGCTAATTTGGTGAAAGACATTCGAAATTATTTCCAAATTAGCCCAGAATATTTCTCCATGCTTCTAGTTGGGAAAGATGGAAACGTCAAATCCTGGTACCCATCTCCAATGTGGTCGATGGCCATTGTGTATGATCTGATTGATTCCATGCAGCTTCGGCGACAGGAAATGACAATTCAGCAATCGCTCGGCATGCAGTGTCCAGATGATGAGTATGGTGGGTATGGTTACCATAGCTATCACCAGGGATACCAGGAAGGTTACCAAGATGACTACCGTCACCACGGAAGTTACCACCATGGATATCCATACTGACAAAAGCAACTTAGCCTCTGACTGCCCCGTGTCTGTCTTCTAATAGCTATCCAAGCAATAGGTGGCCTGTCTGGCAGAAAGTCTTCCCAGGCCACCTAGATATCCATGCCTTGTCCTTCCACTGTTCAATCAAGGGACTTTGGTCATTTGCCTTCTCAAAAACGCAGAAGCCTTTACAGTGAAGCAATTCAAACCAGTAGTACTGAAGCTTTAAACAATAAAGACTCCTTTATATTTTTAAACCTTTATAAACAAAGGGCATCAGCAGGTGCTGTTTGTATTAAAACCAAACAAAAAAATCCCACAGCCCCAGTTCATGGACACTACTGTAGGGCAGGACACGAATTGTCCAACAAAGATCGCCATGCTCTTTTTAGTATTTTTTTCTAAGGAAGAAAAATTATTTATTGGAAAGTGAGATTGCATTGTGCTCATGAAGAGAAACAAAGAATCACACGTCAGGACTTGACCAGAAAAGGAAAATTTAAGTAAAAAGCATGGGGCAGGCTCTTTAATAACAACAATAATAATAATAAAATCCTTTTGAAGTACCTTGTCTAAAAAGACAGCATCCCTTCCACAGTGCATTAACGCTGTAATTAGCTGACTTTATCAATAAAAGTAAGAATTTATGGCTACGGCAGGATTTGTTCCAATACAATACAATGTAAAGTTCTTAACTACAAAGCTTGCTCTATGGCCATTTATTCTTTTAATTGGGGTCCCTGTTCTCTTAGGTCCTGCCTACCTGACAGTTAAATCCAAGTTAATGAGAGCTAAGAGGAAACACCAACCATAGTTAGCAGTTTGAAAGAGAGAAATATGAAAAGCATTATTTTCATCAGAAAAAAAGGAAAACAATTCTCCCGTATATTTTAAATTAGCTGTAACTAGCTCTCTATAGTAATGTTTTCAATTACACTATTACTCTAAATTTCAAATTTCCTTCTACCTCTTTTTCTCATACCTTCCCTCATAAAAAAAAAAAAAATAAATCCGGACTAAATGTTTATAAAAATATTTGGGAATAATTTGATCTGCTACTAAACTATTTCTGCCACACTTTCTGAAATGGTTTTCTTCTTCCTTCTCACTGGTGGCTTTGGGCATTGGATCTGTTGCACCACCCTACTCCTGTTGAAATCAGTGGCAAGAACTGCACCCATAGCCATGCTTTCACCACCGTTTTGGTTTCTAAACATTAAAGAGCCAGCAGAAAGATTCAGGAATATTCTCAAGGTATCATGCAAGCCTTCATAGTGGCACAGTGGTTGCTTCTCATGTTGAAGGCATGCCTGATCAGTCATATTTCTTTTTATAATCCATTCTATGGATGTGCATACCATATATAGATGCATGCAACAGGGCACTCTTCATAGGTTTTGCTATCACAGCAGTAGCACAGGAAGAGGGAGAAGCTACAGCTCTAAGCTAGCCAGAGCATGCCCTACAGTTGGAGATTTAGCAGTTTTCTGATCCTTTCTTGGTTTGGCCCAGAACTAGGTAAAGCAACAAGTTTACTCCAAACCAGATGCTTTCTTTAGAGACTTAGTCATGAAAGGTTAGGTCTTGCTTGCCCTTCTGAATGTCAGAAAGGCAGACAGATGTGGAGAGGTCACAGGGCCTGCCCAGTTCTTCCTCAGCTTTACAAATGTGGTCACCCTCTGGGGTAGGCGCCTTCTGTGCCAGCACAGGGTACAGCTCCTGACTCACCTCCCTCGGGTGACTGGAGCTAAATGGGGGAAGGCAGGCATTGTACACAACCATTTTGACAGGACTGCTGCCTGGAGATAGTTTCCCAGCTCTCATTAACTACAGCACTTCCACAGCTGAAAGCAGTGGACAGAGAAATTAGAAAAAACAGAGGAGCTATAAAAAAGAATCACAGAACTTAAAGGTTTCTAGAAGAAAATAGGAGGTTCCATAGCTCAGTTTTAGCAAACAAATGCTTACTGCACCAGGGTATTAAGGTCAGCTGCCTAACTTTCTTTGCCTAAAGCAAAAGCAGAGGAAAGTATACCACATGTCTAACAGCCACCTCCTGTAGACAAAGAGAAAAACCTTTGGGGTGTTTTCTTTCAGGTGTTCATTTCAACTTTTCTGTAATCTTGTTTTTCATGTAAAGTCTTTAAATGAAAGCCCTTTTAACTCACCTTACAAATCATGGAAACTAAATGTCCTGTGCTGAGGAGGAGGAGGAGACAGTTAATTTACAAAAGAGAGTGCAACACTTGATCCAAATTGCTTTTTTTTTTTTCCCCCTCTCCAGAATTCAAAGCTAAATTGTGCAAGTTTCAAACCCAGCCTAGGCATTCAGTGGGAGTTGCATTAAAAAGACAACTCCAAACAAGTTGTGAACTTATAAGGGAGGTTGGGATGGGCTCTCAAGCAAAACCACACATTCAAATATTCATAGAATCTGAGGAAGTCTCAGAATTATTCTACAATCTGGTGCTGATTCCTGCCTTCATTATAAACTGGCTCAAAACGACCAGATACTTTTAGCAATGATTTAAAATCCTCATTTTGCAACCTATCTCTCCTTATGGAAAACTAAAAGCAAAGCGTGAAGGAACACCAAGCCAAAAAATCCTTTCAACAACATATCGAGTTATCTTGAAGGCTGTAAGCATTCAGGAGCTTCAATTCAGCACACTTCAATTAAGACTTCATTTTGCAAAACACAAATCAAACCCAAAGCACTGGATCTGTCCCTGCAGCATCACTCCAAGGACAGACTTACTGAGATTAAGGTCTTATTTCTACAGCCCTTAGTGGGAAGATGCCACATGATAAACTTTTTTCTTACACATATTTATGGGATTTGATTCAGCCCCAAGATGGCTGTTTTCATCCACCGGCTCTTTCAAGGGTGGGTTGTTACATTCACAGAGTAGCTGAAATTAAACAAAATAAATATAGTTTTAATTGGCTTGTTATAGACAAGAGAAATATGAAATGTCTCTTCTTGGAAGGTTTTTGGAACTATTTCCTCAAACCTGGAGGAAGGAACATAACATTCTAAGCAGTGATTGAGTTCAAACATTTGTGAATCTGGGCTCTAAATCACAGCTTAGAAAGAGCTCTCTGCCCAATGTCATTACAGACTATGTGCCAAACTAATGCTGCTCTCCAAAAATCTCCACATAAATTTCCTTACTGTCATTTGAGGAGAAAAACAGTAAGCTTTCCAACATGGAGTAGGTCAGCAATCATACAGTGGAAATACTTAATTAAATCAGATTCACATGATCTATTTGAAACTATAGAATAGCTCCCCCTTGCTAACCAGGGCTGCTTTCCAGCTGACAATCATTTACAGCCACTTGCTCTGACAAATCTCCTGCATACACTAAATTCAAATATTGCCGTGGATAGAACACCTGCACAGAACGACATGGTTATACTTTCAGGTTACTTTACACACTTCCTTTATTGCTAGGTTGATGCAAATCCCTACCCATTTTCAGACCCATTTTTAGTTAACATTCCTGTTGCTGTAAAGGCAATATATAGAGAAACCTGCCTGGCCAATCCAACAGAAACTCTCCAAGACCTCCAACCTGAAGACAACAGAAAGATTTCTACATGTTAGATAGGACCAACTCTACGGTGCAAGCAAACACTTGGATCAAGTTATATACGTGATAACTTTGTGCAGTCTAAGACTTTAGCAAATAAGCATGATAGCATTGGTGAAATTTATAGAGGGGAAAATCATTAAGCAGGACAAAAGTTGAAAGCAAGAACTAAGTGCACTTTATAAAATATGCTGATCATTCATTTATCTCTTAATGCAGATATTTCATGCAGGAAGGTCAAACATATGGTTTTTAAAACATTCATCTTTGGTTTGATGCTCTGTCATTAGAGGTATGAGGCTGATTTCTATGTTCTGACAACACAAGGCAAAGGTCTCTGGAAAAGTTAATGTAAAAAGCTACTGCTCATGTAAATGCAAAGTAACCTAAAGCTAACAGTATTCTGACTCTTGGAAATACCTGCAAAAGTTGGTAGCTATGAAGATGACAATGAACTCAGGCAGGTATATATTGCAAAGCTATATGTAAAGGAAAAAAAAAAAGAAAATGTCTTATTGCAATTAGTCTTCAACTGAGCTTTTTTTTTTTTTGGAGTTGATGTTTCATTTCCCAAAACAGGACATCATAAACCAATGAAAACCATGTTTCTGGAATTTACATTGAAATATGCCTTCTTATTCATTCTGTACAGATGCAAACAATTAGGATTCCTTTTGTCAAAATGACCTACTATACAAGCACAATGAGATTAGCTGTAAATTTTTCAACCACAACAGTTGTACAGTTCATGTAGGCTAGAAAAAGTTAATACTCCCAGAAAAAAAGGTAAGAAGTCAGAATAATAATTTTAGATTCATCATTTATAATTTGACAGTCATTGGCCACATGAAAACAGGCTGCCCCCTTCTTGATGTATCAGTGACAGGAGGTATATTAATTAATATAGCAATGAGCCACCAATACAGTATGCATAAGTAAGCTGTTATACACAGAGCCTGGAAAGAGGATGGCAGAGGGGAACAAAGGCAGGACTGTTTTCAGTCCACAGAGAAATGCATCGCTAACTGATGACTATACACTGTGGTATGAGGCTTTGACACTGACCTCATCACTTATCTCCTGAAGAATTCTTTTGACGGTATCTTTCAACTATGAAAGATGCATTTTTGAAGGGAGGAAATTATAAACCAGTATCTTTTCCACTGTTCTGAGAGAAGAGGCTTTAGGAACATACCAAGAATCTCTTATCTGCATCCCTCCCTATTCCCACCCCTCTTTTAAAATTCTCTGAATTATTTGGAACCTATTTTTCATCTCACTCAAAATACAACCACCCAGCAGACGCCTCAACAGTGATTCGAAGATCACTATGCCTGGCACTCTGCAGAATGATTCCTCTTGCTGCAAAATGAATGCAAGACCTCATCAGTCTGACGGGGTGGAGCGACACCAAATGATACCACCACCTGCACCCTCTTGCTCAGCGCTCCCGCTGTGGAGGGTATCACTGTAGCTGCATATTTATTTTCAGACAGTGGCCTCGGCACAAACTAAGCCTCCACACACAGCCACTCTAAACACAAAAAAGACCCTGTGATGCATTCATACTGTATAACACACTTTCGTTTTATTCAAGCTCTTTCAAAATTAGGCCACATAAGTTGCATGTAAAATTTGCTCTCTGCTACAAAGGCATTCCAGATTTCCATTTCCCCAGACACTGGGAGACAGGCACACAACAATCTCACACTGAAAATGTGAGGAGAACCAGTGACTGAAATCAGTGAAATCTATTCTGCTCTCAGTCACATCAGAGAAAATCACAAAGAAAGGACTCCACAGGAGTCAGTACAGAGTTACATTGAGTAAAAACAGGAATGAAGATAAAATTAAGACCATTCAAACAAATCACACTCTGGAGATCTGCCTGTTTACAGATCAACATACCCTTAACCCAAGTTATTTATTATACATTCTCAAGTGAAGGTCTGATGAGATTGATTCAGAGGGACTCTTACCAAGCTAGGGATATGTCAATCTGAATTGCCAAAATACAATAAAACCAACAATATGCCTCATTGTTTACGAGGTTATTAATAACATCTTATGTCCTGAAAAGAAAACTTACTGGAGCACTTGTACATTGAAGATGCAGCAAAAACATTCATCAATGCTCACATCACGTCTGCAAGGTGGAGAACAGTTTTGTCTCTGCTTTGCTAACCAAGGAATTCATACAGGAAGTTGCAGTGACTCAGGACAGTCAATCAAAGCCATCAAAGACATATGGTTAAGAGTCCAGGACTGCCTTCCACAACGTACCACATGTCACGCAGATCACTGAGTCCAGGGTCCAAGCCTCTTCTTGTTACAAATTTTGGTTCATTCAGCAGATTTACATGAACAGGAAGAGGGAATACAACTCTCCATATATATGGCTTGAACGTTTTCCTCATCCACCTCTGACATCCAGCCCTAAAACAGTCTCAATTGCTCTGCAAGTGGGGAAAAATGATCCTTCTCTATGTTAATAAAATATTAACATTCTCTCACTATGAGTAATAGCACTCCTCTGAGCCAACCTCAGAGGGAATCTTCATCTGTATCAATGTCACTGCTTGGTTTGTTCAATCTCTCAAATTCTTCTCCATCCTACAAGCAGGAATCAGAAGCAAAAGAGAACAACGTGAGCAAAAGTTATCTTGTTATTAATACAAAAAAAAAAGAAAAAAAAAAAGAGTAAAGTTTATTTTGAAGGCATCACTTATATAAAATCAAACCCCTGAAATTTAAATCTCTTACCAGTGTGTTATAACCTTCCTCTAGGATATATATACTCATAAAAAACATCCCCTGTAATTTTAATGCTTTTTAGTGACTCACTCCACAAAACATCTTATAGCCCATTCCTTCATCAGGAAGCCTGCTCACATAGTACTGGTTGTTTCTACCACAGCTGCTCAGTTGTAAGCGTTAAAATAGGTAACTCCTGGTACACCAAAAATATATGACTTTGTGTTATTTACTGCTTGTTAAACAACAATCTAAAAAGGTACCATGTGGAATTTCTGGAAAATACCTCTTCCAAGTTTAATGTTTCTTAGAATTAAATGGAGACAGCACTCCCTGCTGCATGCAATGTGTATTACAGAACACATCTGTACAAGAAAAATACAACCCCTCCACCTTTGACTGCTCAGCTAAACTGAATGATGTATCTAAGAGCAAGCCCTCCCTGCCATGTTCCAGTTAACTAGATTACTATTCAAATTAGGAGAAAAAACAGTAACGGGCCTGAAGGAAATGTTTCCTAAGAAAAAAACCGTGTTGCAACTCTGTATTCAAACATTATCTTTTTGTCTTTGGATATCTTTGACTGTTAAGATGGAAAGAATCTTAACAACAAATACATTAACTTCTTCATGATGTGGGCTCAGCAACACAGATTTATCAATTCTACTTAAGTACAATTATTTCCCAGGCATCAATTCCAACCTCTGGATGCCCAGGGTCAGTAAAATATTTTCATCACACAGGTTTCAAGAAAGGATTTGTGCAAAGCTGAAGGTGCTCACAAGACTCTCTGTAGTCACAGCAGGAAAGCAATGCTCACTTAGGCTTTGTGAACTGAAAAAGTGGAATATGCAAAGCAATACCCCATCACTTGAAAAGATTTTAAGAAACACTAAGGAGTTTTGGTGTCTGAGTTAAGGGATGAGTCTGGTCACGTGCACAATGAACCTTCCAAACATTCCATAGCATAAATGGAGGTGAAACAAAAGAGAAACCAGAGGAGACAAGTACTGAAAAGCCTTACCCCACTTGACCTCTCCCATGCATCTCCTTTGACGAGTTTGCCCCTTTCCCGCAGAGTGGCATATTCCAGGCCTCTTGGTTTACTGGCATTATAGATGAATATGGAGAGAAGCACTACAGGAGCTTCCAAAAAGAACTCTAGAGAAGGCCTGAAGTCAAAGATGATGAACGAGACGGTGGTGATGATGACAGTGGTGATCTGAGCAGTCATAACATGGAACATATTATCTCGGAACTTCAAGATGAAGGCTACAGACAGCCCCAGGAAAGCTGTGACAAAGATGAGAGCCACTGAGAAGATGTTGTGCCCATAAAAGAAGCCACAATTCCCTATCTGTCTCCGGTCCTTAGCCTGCAGCCCCAGCATAAGCCCATTGAACAGCACCCCAAAGGCATAGAGCTTGCTGTTCTGCATGAAGATGCTTTCACCGAGCTGATCTCCATCTTTCAAGATCTTCTCGTTGTAGATGTTAGCCAGGGCAGAAATGAAACACTGCACTAGAATAAGCAGATGGCCCAGGCTGAGGCGGAGAGGTTTCAATGCTCCTGCCATGCTACTGGTGACATTCCACTGGAAGTTGGGAAGGAAACTTGGTGCCACGCAGTTGCCCTTTTCCAGGCATGCTTCCTCAGGTCCAACATAGAGAAGGCAGTGGTTAGATGGACTAAAAAACATATTGTGATGGAATCCGTGTACAGCCAAGCTTTGCTGATGGCCTCCAGTTCCCAGAGTTAGGGCAACAATGGACAGGAATAAAATCACCAGAGATGCCCATTGAACCCAAGAGAGTTTTCGCCTAGGGGTAGACAAAAAAAGCCACCAACTTTAGAAACACAGTGGCACAAATTAAATGACAGGAGAACAAGCTCTATCAAACACATAAAAGACATCATGCCACAGATGAGGAGACAGACAGATGCAAAAAAAAAAGTAATCTAGGTGTTTCAGAATTGACAGTAAAATTCCAAAATGCAGCACGCTTTTCTACAGCAAGAGGGGCTCAGCCTGGCAATCACAGAAATACAAAATGGAGTATTCTACAGAGATAAGTTCCTTCAAGGTCATGACTGCCTGACAACTTAAAAGCAACTCTTGTCTTCATGGGAACACAGGTCTGATGGATAAAAAAAAAAAAAAAAAAAAAAAGCCATTCAGATAATACCCTCTTTCTTTGGTAAACTTCCACTACATTTCATTTTTCCCCCATGATTTTGTATCCTTTTCTAGTATTTTATGATGGTAAATCACATAAATCTATAAAAGCCTGCTTATCTTGTGGAACACATAGGACAGTCTGGCTTTTGTCCCATGAATAATGAAGAAGGCACATGTAATTACTTACTTACTTAATTAATTAATTAATTAATTCTGATCATCCAATAACTATATAATCATTATTTCAGTTGTTTTCTATTACAGTTAACCAAATGTGTAGAGGTATGTAGGGACTCCTAATAAACTATTATTTTCTACATCTTCAGATGTAGAAAACAAAGCCATCTCTCCAAGCTGGTATAGCCACAAGAAAAAACAATTACAGTTCCCATCAGACAAAGAGAAAGAATGTAGCTTAGCTTCTTCATCGAGGCTAGGAAGATATAATATTTCATTTACTTTAGTAAACACTACTTACTTTAGCACTATCCTGAAGAGAAGAGCTGTTGTTATAATGACAAAATTTGAGAAGAGTACAGCCATTGCCTAGAAGGAGAAGGAGGGGAACAAAGTTATACTCCAGCCATAGTATGAACATCAAAAGCCCACCAACTTCAAGTGTTCACCTTTCTGCAAGGTTCCATAGTGAAAAGCATCATCCTGGTACTGAACTTTTTTTCCTTACCCAAGTGGTAGAATAACATGTCCCTAAAACAACATTCAAAAGTCCCATTTTAAAACCTCAAGCAAACCACAGAGTCTAAGTTCCACTGTAGTGGGGAAAGCTGTACTGAAACAAAGACATGAGGAAACCAACTCAGCCAGGTTGACCAGTCAGCTGCAAAAACATCTGTGTTAGCACAAAGGGGGAAGTTGCTCCAAAATCAAAATCAGAAAAGATATGGGCAAGGCGAGCCTGCTTCTGGCTGCAGTACCAGCTTGCAGCGTTCATGAAATCCCAGACTTGGAGAAGACATTTGCAGAAAATCAACTTCCTGTATGTCAAGTGCATTTGCTGCATCATCTATCAAAGGCAAGGATGTGCTCTGCTTGAATTTTCAAGACTGCAACTGTACTGAAAAAAAAAAATAAAAATCACCTGTTTCAAAGTACAGCTGAAGACAGCTCTAAAGCTCCTGTCTAATTTGGGAATAGCTGCGTAAAAATGACAGTGCCCTAATGATCCCACGCTGCAAACTCCTTGTGGCAAGTCTTCAGGGTGTCTGTATTGGAGACTCTCTACTGGAACCCTGGACCAAGAAGAAGCCCTTGTAGGCACTGCAGTTACCAGAACCAGTGGGGAAAAAAAGGCTTTTTTGGAGGGGGGGGGGGGGGTGTAGTCAGTACACATACAAAAATCTAGGCATCTGAACTCTTTCCAATTCAGCCTTAGCTGAATTTTCTAGACAATTTTATGCAAAAAACATACACAGATTCAGAAGTGCAAACCACAGATTTTATCTTGAACTTTCTCATCTGCATTTTCACATTCCCAGTTCTGCAGTAACAGAGCCTTTTTCATTTACCAGAGAAAAAGCACAGGTCCTTTTCCCACTACTTTAGTTCCACTCTATTCCAACATACTATCTGCTGAATAATTAATCTCACTTAACAGCACCACACAGGGTCTCAAGTAAGCTGAAGGTTGACATACGAGACATCTGCCTAAGAAACCACAGCTTATTTTTTCTGCTTCGCAAGATTACAAATCAATAAATATTCGTGTTAGGTGAACACTGTGGAAGGGGAAAAATATTGAACAACAAATGAATCTGGCAGAAACCACTCTGGAAGAAAAAAGAGGCTTGATCCAAAATGTACAAGTGTATACTCTGGTTTTGCTTTACAGTCAAAGCCTCCCATCCAACATCTCTGGTAACATAATATGATCAACATCTATAGCACGATAGTTACAAGGAATTAATTTTAAATTCCTTTGTTCTCTGAGACCTCAGGGGAACTCTGTCCTAGATGAAAAGGAGTAAGAAAAAAATTTACCACAGATCACCATGCCACTAACATATCACAAACAAAGTTTCTAAAAAATAAGTCTTTATCACTAGGAAATGTTAGCCACTAAAGAGTATAGTTATAGCTGAAGCTTCCAGCAAAAAAATCTCACCAAAGCAACTCTGTACTTCAAGTAACTGCTCACCCAGGTATTTAGTCCCATACCTAAAGAAAGCCATATGAAACCAAGTTCAGCCAGATATGGCCTCCCTCTTTCAAGCATCTTGCCTCCACTTATCACAGCCATGCAAACTGTCAAGGTATTCTATCTTACAGGTATTTAGTTCTCTCTTTTAATACTTGTTTACCATGATAATGTTAACATTTTAGCTAACCCTCATAAATATATCTAGTTAGAAGGTATAAGATGCTAAGAGTTCTAAAAAAAAAGGAATCTTAGAGCACATGTTCTGAGGGGAGAGACACAAGGTGTGTATGGGTGTGTGTGTATAAAATATAAAAGCTCTGCGTATTATAAAAGATGACCTTAACTGAGCCAAATCACACTGCTTAAGAAAGCGTTTATATGACCTTCTAAACATCAGGCTTTACTATTATACACATTATAGCTGAATTTCCTTCCTAAACCAAAAAAAACCACCAACAAAAACCACACACACAACAAACCACAGAACCAAGCACCCATGTATATTATTTTAATATTTTCGACCCTTGATTTTAATTAGATTTTTCCAGCCAGGTCCTGTTCTAGACTCTGGTCTGTCCCTGACAGAAATGTACACTTAAAAGGACAATATTTTAAAGAGAAATTCTGAAACAGAAGGAAGAGATATTTATACTTATTTTTAATGTCAAACAGGGGCAACCACAGTATTTTATAGCAAGTACTAACCATCTGTTTCCATCTAACTTCAGAGATTCTGAACCAAAAATGAAAATAAAAATAAAAAGAAATCACAAGAACTGTACTATTTCCTGAGCATATGTAAATTCATCCAGAAGGATGAATATAGCTAGAAGAAAGTACCAATTAAATTTTATGCTTAAACATAACTGATAGAAAAAATGCGAAAATTAAGAGGCAAACAGTTTTCTTCCTCCCCTCCTTAGTTCCTGTTACACTTACTGCCTTTGTGGAATTACATTTACTCACTTTTCTTTGGAGTCAGTGAGGAAAGAAAACAAGTCATCATGTGAAGTCACATACATAAAGTGGTAGAAGCCACACAAAAAGCACAGCTCAAATACTAGAAGATGAGCAAATGCACTGAAAGAGAAATACAGAGTTGAAGAAACCAGAGGGAAAGCACTGAAAACCTGCCTAGTACTTAAGCAATTCAGCCTATTTCTAAATCACTTAGGATGGAGAAAGTGCACAGAGACACTCTACTGAGAGCTGTATGACACTGATGTGGGCAAGAGAATGGGAAGGTCTGGCTGGTCAGGTAAAAGATCTTTCTTTTACCTGCTAATCTTGCCTTGCCAGTGTTACAACTGTAGATAGTCTAAGGGCAATGTTACCTACCACTAAGACATTGGAAGATACTTTATTCAGTATATATATATACTTACTGGCTGTAGGTAGGACAGTACATAGAAGACAATCAAGTTATCCAGAAAGTAAAGAAAGGCAGGAATTGACCATTTCATGGAATTACAAAAATTCCTCCAGGAAAGACATCCAAAGGGATGATCCAAACAACCCTCTGAAAGGAAAAGAAATCAGTAAGAAAGACATCCTTCTTATCAACAAAACCCCATTCCCTTATAACAGAATAGGTACCACTGTCCTGTTTTCAGGAACACCGGTGGACTGAAAAAAAAAACATACCACAGCCCTCTGGAAATGCAGAGGACAGATCCAGGGCAGAACACAGAGCTGGAGCAGCAATACATGTCTACAGGCATTCGCTTCCTAGCTTCAGCAGAGAAAACATCAAGGAACCTGTTGCCCCCATCAAAGTGTTTGGGAGCAAAAATTCAGCTATCAACCATTCTTTGAGGGCCAAAAAGCACTCCAAAGTCCCCCCACAACAGCAATGTCACTACTGGGTATGATTTTCTGATGATTATCAATCAAATCTAGAACTGAAACAATGACAGAGGCAGGGGATCTGTTCATATAGCACCCAAAGGGCAGCCAGTGATGTCAGAAATGCAAAATAAACCACAAGTCAGTATCTGCAGCAGACAGCACATGATCTGGGTGAAAAGAGAACATACAGGAAGAAGGAAGAAAGGTCAAGGCACAAAGAATGACATTTACTTAGGTATTCAGGACACACACTTTGGGAGGAAGACTGTGTTAAACCTTAGACTACTCTAGAGTTGATGACAGAAGTACTTTGTTAGCACAAATTTAAGATTACACAATGCTATATAATCCTCTTCTGAACCACCACTGAGTTCAGAAAAATCAGACTTCTGGAAGGAGAAAAAAACCCAACAAACGAGACAATCAGAAAAAGTATAATCAGCAGTAGCCAATGATGGCAAAAACTGACTGAACAGTCTTAGGTATGTCTGTACTAAATGGTGGAGGTAAAAATTTCAGCAGCTTGCCAGAGCTGTGACTGTCATACAGAGAAGTGGACAAATTGAGCAACTCAATTTAACATGAGTCTCCAGTACCTGACACCCTCTTCCAATTTAAACCTCTGTTCTCCACTATTTTGAAATGCTATGAAGTTAACATCCTTTTTACATCAGGAGACAAAAGCCAAGAAAAAGAAAAATAGCCCGCAATGCAAAAACAGTAGCTAGGGAAGCCTGGCACTGCTTTTTCTGAACAGCAGCCCCAAGATTTGTCTTCACAACAAAGCTGCCTTGGATCATAACATTGATATGTTGCCTCTGACTCAAATACCAGTGCACACACACAAAACCTTGTTAGTGCAAGGTGGTGGTGCTTTTAAATAACAGTGGCCAGAACAACCATACAGGCCAGTCCTTGAGTTAGTGCAGCTTCTGTTCAGTCATGACTTCAGAGTGAGGTGACTCCAATTACCTAACACCATACTGTGTGAAAATTCTGAAAATGTCAAGACTGTCTTCATTACGCTTGCTAGTTCAACTTACCTGTCCCCATTTCAGCTACTATATTTACACCTCAAGAACACCTGAATTTATAGAACGAAATAAGAGTTAAAATAAACTTTAGTTGAAATTCTGCATGAAGACACAAATCCAGTGAATCTTACTAGCAGGACTTACTCCAATCTACTACATGTGAATCTATCATTTCAAAAAATCCCCCAAAAAAACCAAAAAAAGGGATCTGAAGTACAGCAAATCTTATAAAGTCAATACATTTTATTTATTTGAAACATAAATACTTACCTTTTTTCTTAACCCATACTGCCAAGACCACACACAGGACTAGTTTTACTACTTCAGAACATATGTTCACTGTTGTAGGCAGGTAATCATATTTGTTATCTGTGGGATTCAGCAAATCACAGAGAGCACACGATCAGATTTTGTCTCCTGCATTCATCATTTGAGCAAGAAACTATTTTAACCCCACCAGTCAGAATTTTAGCCATTTTCCATAAATGCAAAAGGCTGTGTCAGCACTTTCATTTATAAATATTCAAATTTTTATGATATACAACTTGCTGAACAGCCTTCCTCCTGGGCTGAAATCTTTCCTCATTTGGTCCCAGTTTAGAGTAGAAGCTTTTGGAAGAACTCAAGAACATCACTGTTTAAAAAAAAACAAAAACAAAGGGAATGTTTTCTTCAAACAGCAATATGCTTTCCCCCCCCCTCATAAAACATGGCTTCCAGGACAACACCACCTTCTTCTAGGACTGTATATTTTCTTTATTAGCATATTGGGCTAATACCTGGCAAAAGGAGAAGCAGTAATACTAGCCACTTATAGCACACCCACTAAGACACCACTTTTCTCCTAAGCCTGTTAGAAGACAAAAATTTCAGTCAAGACATGTACCATCGATGGTGCTTACATAACAATTTAGTCTTTGAAAATAAGATCTAAAATAATTCACTGCCTCATGTTTTAAGGGCCAATCTTGCAACCCAATTTATCACTCAGTGTTAGACCAGGGATTACACAGAGATTTCCAGTACAGAAATACACGTCACTATTTTTATAGTAGAATGTTTATGCCAAGAACTCTGCAGGTGGAGAACTAGGCTTCTGGGTATGCGTTTTACCCCAAATGTCAACTCTTCCTGGAGCCGTGAGCCCCCGGGGTCGCGAGTGGTGGCGGAACGGCCACGGCCTCTTTCTCCCTCCCGCGCCCCCTTCCCGGGGTGCCGCCCGTAGTGCGGCCGCTGCCCGCCCGCCGGCTGCTCCTTAGGGTCGCTCCCGCCTGCGCGGGCATTTCCCTGTCGCCCCGGTGCGGTGTGAGGGGCTCCCCACCGCCCCCCGGAATCGTTCCGCCTTCCCGAAAGCGGCTGCGGCTTCGCTTCTTGTCCGGGCCTGAGGAACTCTGTCGTTGCGGTGGCTTTACGCAACCGGCGGAGGGTCTCCGAGGGCGCGGTGCTGCCTCACGCCGGAGGGGGAGGTTGTGCAGGGGCAGCAAAGCCGCCGGCCCTCGTCCTGCCCCGGGGCGTACGGGATGGAGGGACGCTGAGTTGGAGCTGCCGTTGGGGAGCGTTCACCTGCGAGGTGCGGTCCTTCGAAGACCTACTTCGTGCCTGGTCCCAGTGCTCGAGGAATAACTCACTTGGTGCTGTTTCCTATTAAAGTAGCTAAACTTTAACTAATTGTGTGACCTGGAATGGAAATCCAAAGGTGCTCGTGTACTGATAGGCTTAAGCCTGGTTTCAGGAATGCGTTGCAATGGTTATTTTGGGTAAGAATGCAACTTCTTTAGCTGACACAAAAAAAAAATATCCCCTAGTCAACGTCTTGGTTATGTGAGCAGGTATAAAGTTATATAGTGTAGCTTATTTCTGTATCAGCATTACTATATTAATACATGTTTCTGTATGCTGAAGTAACTGAATAGTAGAAATGGGCTGTTTGGGAGTGAATTATAACAATCTGCTTGTAAAGGTAGGCCGCACATCTGTTATAATTCCTGTTATTTAGTGAAAAATAAATTGTGGTTTTCTGCAGTTGTTAGACTGCATCCCATCTTCTGCTTCCTATTTACACTTTTTTATTTAAAACCCAACTTTGTGAATGCTTGTCCGCTGTTCTTTCACTGCCAATTTTCACGTTTTTCTGTGCTTTTGAAAAAATACTTCTACTCTAATTGTCTATGACAGCAGCCTCTCTGCCCGTGGTTTTATGGTGTGACCTCCTGCATGTCTTCTACTCTGCAGCTTAGATCTTTGGGCAGAAGACAGTGATAATTATTATTTGAACTTGTCCCTCTGTGGTATATAGTATGCTCTGTCCTGGATAGTGGACCTTTCTAGGGTTGCCCACCAGCGATGACATATATGGGCTGCAATGGAATTTTGGTGTGGAAACATGAAGTGACTTGTTTACCATGGTACCAGCTGCTGTTGCACAGCTGGTGTAATAGTGGAGGAATTCTTGTGCCCAGGCATATTACTGGGAGGAGGCAGGAGTAGGACATCCTACAAATGGGAAGTGATAATACTATGTGTGTATGTTGTTTTTACAAGGAGTTGAAATAAATACTCCAGCTTGGTAACTTTGGAAAGAAAGGAGCCCTGTGTCTGGCACTAGCTTACATACCACAGAATGTAGATGTGAAAAAATGAACTATTTACCCTCAGGGAACAGAGGATGGATATTTTACGTATTTTCCTCATGTAGTTCCAGAAACAAGTTTGTGCATGTTGCCTGCTACTTAGAGTTCATTCTGAGGTTAAACAGTAAGTTGTCTGCACTGTGGTGCTGCATAACGTTATCAAGAATTGTTAGCTTTACAGCAATACAAATTTCTAAATTAGGGTGGTTTGGGTTTCTTTGATTTCTGTTAACTAGCATGTAATGATGTTATGGTGTTTGTGCAACTGCGGTTTTGCTTATCTTAATCTTGTTCTTAAATGCCTCCTCTTTAGAAATTAGGGAGAAAGGAAGTAATCAGTATTGTATGAAACAGGTGTGCCCGTTTTCTTTTATATAGCACTGGTGATAGATAGCATGCACCAGGGTGAGGCAGCAAGAATAACCAAGTTAAGCAATGGCTGGTTTTCTTTAATGATTTCCTAATGATCGAATAAGGTGAATGAAGTTGTAGCCAAAAGTGAGGTACTTTTCAGTTGCTGCTTTTAGTCTTGATAGAAAAAAATCATGAGCTCTTCAGGGCAAGAAGTTATTCAGTAATTGATGATGCAAAAACTTGAGAAGTGAGCTGTGCCATGGTTGAAATTGTATTCTTTTTTCAAAAGCTGTTCTTAGATAGCTCTAATGCTGGGGAATGGTAGGTTTCCTTGGTGCTTGACTTTTTCTGAAGAAAAAAACAGAAGTCTAAACCAAAATAGTCTGCTTACTCTAGATTTGAATATACTAAAAAATGTTGTATCCTTAAACTTCAGGAATGTGTTGCTGCTTACCATCTATTCTTTCATCCATAAAAAACATGACAGCATGAGAAAATCAAAACTGTTTCCAAGGGGTGCATAATGAAGGCACAGAAATTAGTATTAAAAAAGTTAAAGACTATATCTTTCTACGTAACTTTTCCCACCAGAGAGAAAAGTTGGTCATTCATTTCATGACCTTGCTTAACTGCAGAGCCTCATACTGATGCATTGCAGTGCTGTTCAGTGCCTAGAGCAGTCCCAAAGTCCTGACTGTGAGAGTCACCAGTCCCAGCTGGTTTTATATCTCTTACTGGCTAATGTAATACTGAGTACTGGCAATTTTTACTTTATTATTGGTGTAATTGGCTGTAGCAAGGAAATTATTTTGTCTGTGTGAGTTTTTTATAATAGCTCCAATTCTGCAACAAGTAATTTTGTTGAGCCTTACGTTATAGGATAAGGGAGTAAGTTGCCTATCGGCCCTGGCAGAGGTTGCCTCCAAACTGATTCACAGATCTCTGTGGACAGAGCTAATTCCAAGACAAAAGTAGACCAAATGTTTGTCTTGCCAGTAAAGTGGGGTACTTTGATTTGTCATCAGTTCTCAACATTTCTAAACTTTCTTTATTGCAGGAGTCCAAGTTTAAGGAAACTGGAGTAATTACACCTGAAGAAGTAAGCATTTAGAAACTTTGAAATATATTTTGAAAGTAATGATAAATTTTACTGAAAATGTAAAATGTTCATCTCCCAACAGTTCATGTCTTTGCCAACTAATACTGCTTCTTGAAACAATTTCCACAAAGTGGAAGTTCTAAATGGCTTTTTTGCTCTACAAACGAAGTAGATCAACAGAATTCGTTTTGAGATGACACCTGACATCTGAATGTGGGATGCTTTTTTCCTGTATTATGTTGTGAAAAGCTTGTGAGGAAGCTGGTGCTGGGTCAACAGCTGCATTTGTCTTGGGAGTTCAGGACTAAACCAGGAATATATTTATTTTAAAAGTCTTTCCCGTGAGCAACTCAAAGAGAATCTTGTGTCTTGGGAACAGTCTCTTCTTACCTCACGTTGGCTCCTTCCAAGACTCTGGCTGAAATCATTACATATGCTCGTCCACACCAAGTATCCAATGATGATTATTTTTTCCCAAACTTCTTTTCTGTATGCTACTTCAGGCTGGTTTTATTTTGGATTGCTTCAAAGCAGTTGTAGTTTTTTAAGGAGTCTGCTGTGAAGAGATACAGGATTTTTCCTAGAATAGTAAAAACACTGATTGTACAGTGATATTTTGACTTCCCCATTCTGCTTTTTCTCATATTAAAGTGCTACTGTTCTGAAAAGACATTGTCTTTACAGAGGTGTAAGAAAATAATGTTAAGACTGTTGGGTAGAATGAAAGAAAAATGAGACAATGCATAAATATGAAAAGGAGATGGAAGAAGATAGAATGACTGATGACCGTTGCAGGTAGATAATGTGGACAGAAGTATTTTTCCTAACGTTGGTACCTGGCATTTTTCTGCTACATTTTATGACAAGAAAGTGTTTGTGCTTTCTATAATCCAGAAGAGTACTGTTCAGAAAAACAGGCTTAGCAACTTGATGTTCTCTTGTTCTGATAATTGTGTGTATAAATGTTTATATATTAGATATTGCATAATATATTTAGAAACTAATATATAAAACAAATAGAGGAAGTCTAGATAAATATTCTACTAATGCTTAATCCCTTCTTTATCTATGGGAGAAAACTTGGCAGTAGTACTGAAAGAAAAAGTACTTTCTGTAGAACGTAGCAAGAACCACACTTACATTAAACAGTTTGCAGCATTGAAACACTAGTAAGAATGCGAATAGTATGGAAACTCAGTGTAAAGTTAGATGCTGATGGGAAGAATAAAGTGGAACCTTCAATACAGAAGTCAAGGGAAATAATTATCCAACAAGATTAATTTTTGGTTAAATTTAGATGAGACTGGAGCATGGATCTGCTGATTGTCCCTTTGACAGTCTTTCCTTTTCCCTAATAATTTTAGTCTTTAGTGATTGCTGAAGAATTGGAAGTCATCAATAATGATGCTAGGATGTTATCTTGGAATGAGTTTGGATTTCTGTATCTCAGTTCAACTGTATTTTAGTCTGAGATGCTGACTATTATATAGACTTTGTGGGGTTCCTGGGGCTTGCCTCAGAAATCAGTGATAAGGCTAAAGATGACTCGTTAATCAAACTCAACACCTACTCCCTCTATTCATATATGTGTGTACTTGATTTAATTGCAGCAAACTCTTGCCTGCGATAAGTTCTTACTAGTTAATACCTCAGACAGGTAACACCTGTTTTATTTATATAGGTACGTACAGGCAAACCCTAAAAATTACTCTTTCCAGGAGCAGAAATGAGGTGTTGTCCTAAAATTGATCTTTTGCCAGTTACCCAGCATTGGCTCAGGTATGAGATGGCATTAGTGTTTGAGAAATGGAAAGTGAAACCAGCTAGATAATTTTGCAGCCTAAGCCGAAGCAAATGCAATTTAAAGTACTCTTTTAGGTTTCTACATCTGTTAGACCCCCAAAAAACACTTTTTCATCTTTAATAATATATTTTAACATTGCCACAAACTGTGTTCCAGTTCATGGGATAGAGAATTTTAAATAATTCTAGAGTTTCACGTCTTA